CCCCCCCTCCCTCTCTTTCTCTTTCAACAAGTAATGATTCATTAGATTACTACTAATTACGAACCACTAATTAAATGACTATTATTAATCCAGATAAGTACACGCAGATGACTGATTAACTAATTACGTACTACAAAGGTTTTAATTTTCTCCTCTTCTCGGCGGATACAATATTAACTAATACATAAATAAGTAGAGAACAAGCAGTTAAATGTCGTGGAATAAAACGAACGTCACATATATTATTGTCGTGTGTACGCTAGTGTAATAAAACAACGTGCGCTCTCATGTTTTCCACACACACACGATATGTTCGACACGGTATGTTGTATCGACTACAATACGTTATTTTCATGGCACATCACCCCCGCATCACATGCGTGTGTGATAATCGCGGCTCGATTCAGGAATCCTAGTCGCCGCTCATCGTGGAAAAACGCGGCGGCGTTTTCCAGATTGCACTGGAGGTACGCTTCAAGCGACTTCGATCTATGCCCTGGAACAGCTCGGTCAAATCCGGCGTACACTTACGAGTGTCGAAGAATTTGTACACTATTTCCTCGGGGATGTGTCGTTGCATCGCAAGTTGCACCTTGCGCACGTGTGCTGGAAGATTTTAAATGATTTAGAGATTTTTCTCACATGTTTCTTCATCATTAAGAAATTGTTAATCACACGTAAATTTTCTTGAGGTGCTACGTTTCTATTTTAACTTCGGCAACTTCTCGGAAGAGATACGTACCCTGTGCCCAATACGGTATCTCGTGTTTTGGTCTGCTCTCGTCGTCCGAGTCGTCGTCGTCAGGTTCGCTGTCCAACACGTAATTCGTCGTGCCTGGTTGCTTATTAGCGGCTTGCTTGTGCTGTAAAATAAAGATCGAGGATTGATATCGCAGGCAACAGTGATTGGTGATGACAATGCCAGGATTGAGTGATATATATTCTCTCGGTCGATTATAAATTAAGAAGTTGGTAACTTTTAATTTTCTTTTAACGGGATTAATTTCATAAGCCATTAGCTTTTAACTTGACTTAGTTAAGAATAAAAGAAAAAATTAATTTACTCAACCCTAGATAACGTATATCAGGATAATTAATAATTTATCTATCACGAAACTCATCGAAAAGGAGGTGTTGCAACTGTTTTTGTAACTGACCATGCGCACGCGATGTTGCTTATAGACTTACTTTAGTTTGAGCCGCGTGCGCCATATTCTTCAGCCTCGTCGCTTCAGCCTGCTGCTGGGCTCTCACTTCCATTTCCTTACGCTTCTCGGCCTCCTGTTCCCGGCGCTTCTGTTCGGCGAGCAAACGCTCCGCCTCCTCTTGCTCGTGCAGTCTCTGCAACCTCTGTTGCTCCTCCAGTTTGCGACGTTCCTCCTTCTCTTGCGCTCGTTGCAACTGAGCCAGGCGCTTCTTCTCCATCTCTTCGCGCTGCTTCTCCTGCATCATCTGTGCCAACTTCGCCTTCTCCTCTCGTTCTCTCTCCGCCTTCAGCCGCTTTTCCAGTTCCTGCTTTTCTTTGGCCTCTCTCGCCAACTTGTTCTTCAGCTCCTTCTCCTCCCGTTTTCTGATACATAACGTGTGTATGTAAGATTCGATCGAAAGGATGTGTGGAAACTGCAATATTAAAGCTTCCGAATTAGTTACGTCCCTTAGAAATTAGCACATTCCCATACCTTCTCTTCTCTTCCGTCTGCAATCTCAAGGCCTCCTTTCTCTTCTTCAACGCGTCTTCCTCGTGCCGTCTCTTATCCTCCAATTTGTCAGCAGAGCTGTCCTTGACCGTTTTCGGGGCTTGGATGAAAGACTCCACACTAGTCACGATATTCACGCGCGAGGCGGTTAAAGCTTTCGCCTGCTAAAAATCCAAGCATGCGTCAAATCCTCAGTACAGACCAACACTCGAGAGAATGAAATTGAAGACGAAACCTACACTCGCGAGGTTGTACGCGTTCAACGGAGTTTGAATACGATTCGCAGACATTGGAACTATGATTTTCGATTTGCTCAAAGGTGTTGTTTTTTGCATCGCGTTCAGCCTGTCGTTTTTAATCGCCTTATTGTTCTGCTCTGGCACTTGCTCCTTGTTCTGAAGAAAAGACTAATTTGTTGTTAGAAAATATCAGAGAGACGTAACGAAGAGGAAAATAGGAAAGGAAAGCAGGTAATAGAGAAAATTAGACTCGTGAAAAATCAAATAATTAATAAGTTATGAATGAAATCTGATTGTTAGATTGTTAAAGTAGAATTAATGAAGAGCCAAGCATGGCTGACATAGCGCTGTAATAAATAATATTTGTTAAATAGTCTAAGTGCTTATTTCAGATAGATCCAAATGTTTGGGTCATGTTTGACCCTCTTCAGTGGGAAACATTACGTAACGATCATAGTCTTGCTTTCTCACTTTGTTGTATCAGAATCAACGTTGGTGTTTTGACATTCGCTTTTTACTTAACTCTATGTATATTATATATGTTTCCTGTTAAGGAGGGTCAGAGATAATTGAAACATTTGTACCTGTAAAGTAATTCTAATAATCCTAATTAAAGATCGTACAATTGTAAAACATACGATTGTTCACAGATATCTACCTCTTTAAATTCTTCGTTGTCTTTTTTCTGCTTCTCCACAAGGCAAGCTATCTTCTTGGCTTTCGCGAGTGACTTGCGAGCTAGTATCTGTGTGTAGTTTTTATCCGTATTCTTCGCCTCCGCTTCGGCTTCCGCAGCGGCCATCGCGCGGGTTTTCGTTCTGGTTATTCTGGTAGGAGCATTCACATCGACTGATGCTGGACTCTGCATCACTGCTTGCTCGAACGCCTCGACCCTTTTCTTCACGGATTCCTTTGCGTAAGGACTGAACAACGCATTCGGCTTGAACGAAGCTTTGATTTCTTGCATGACCGAGGGCGCGACCGGCTGTTTGAAATATTCTTTCACTTTCTTTATAGGAGGTGTGTTAGGGACCTCGTCGTCATCGTCGCTGAAGTTTCTTATCAGGCGTTTCTTCTTGCCGACCTGTTTCTTCGATTTCTTCAATTCAGGCGACGACTCGTCATCCGTGATTAATTCGTTATATGCGTTCGAGAGATCGTTTTGTCTTTTTTTATTCGATTGCGTACTGCCCTGTCGTGTTTTCTTCGAACTTGTTCTTTCTCCGCTATTTCCCCGACTCCTGCTCTGCTGATTCGCTGCCTTTTGGATCACGACTGTTTCGTTTAATTTTCTCTGTTGCGGCAAGGGCTCCAAAATCACCGTGGCATTCAGTATCTTCTCAGGCAAAGCTAAACTATATTTCAAAGTCGAATTCATAATTGGAGTTGGCTTCCCAATTGCATCCTCATATATAGATTCTTCGACGATATCCGTAGTAGGAGAAATAATAGCATCGTCTTTTTTTTCTTCCTTCTGAGATTTTGTAGACCCTGATCTCAGTGAACGTCGTGGTTTCTGGGCTACATCCTCTTCCTTGGTCTTTTCAGCTGTATCATCATCAGAATGAGCAACTTGCTCAGTTACTTTTCTTGTTATTCTCTCTCCTGGTTCTTTGCTCTTCACATTCTCATCTAGTTTACTATACTTCGAAGCTGCCTTACCTTCGTCCTCATCAGAACTTGTTCGCACAGATTTCTTCCTCTTGAGTTGACTTTCCCTCTTTCCCTAAGATTCATAAAATATACATCAGATATAAATAATCTCCCACAGTTGTATGGATCATGCAGAGAAATAAAGAAAATGCTACTACTTACTTTCTTTGCCAAGTGAACGGTATGTTCATTATCAGAAAGTTCCCTCAGTCTTCCATTCTGGCCAAGTAAACTTTGTTTCGCGATGTTATTCACTGCTTTCAAAGATGCCATCCTTTTTATCCTACTGCCTGCTATGCTGTCTGTATTATTAGCTTTCTCACTGACAACTTGTACATCATCTGCTAAAGTATTCTCTTGCTCTAATACATCATCCTCTAGTATGGTTTCAATACGTTGAAATCCCCTTTTCCTCGCAACCTTCGGCGTTTTCATGACAATCGGGACAGACGATGGTTGTAACAACTGATTGAGCAGATTTTGCAGACACTCCCTTTGATAATCGGCATTCTCGTTGAGATGATTTAGTATTTCCTTATGTCGGTCTTGGAAACTCAAGAAATCCTTCATAATCATCTGATATACCTCGTTCTTGCATTTAACGTCCATCGTGGAAGACGATCCTTGAGAGTTACGTTTCACAAACCTCCCGCTCCTCCCAACGCAATTCCGTTGTCCCGGCGACGTGAATTTCGGTGATACGTTTGACGTTACAATACTCATACGACGCAGAATCAAACAACTCTAACGAATTATACATCGAATGTCGATTTATTTCTTCAATACTCAAGCGTTTTCGACCACGACTCCCCGTCTTTTGGTTATCTGGCAAAATTACCGCCCATTCATTCTGGCGGGCTCTATCGACCATTTTCAACCGGACATGTCGGGACCTCTCCAATGAGAAGTAACGACTTTTCGGTTTAATTCGAATTCAGACTAATGGCGACATCTATGCCCCCTTTTGCTCCGGTGTGTTCATTCTTGTACCACTCGAAAAACATAATTTTGAAGTCATGGATATGACAGAGTTTTACACGATACTTTTATCATATTTTGCGAGAAAGGCAAACTTCTTTATCTCTATCTAAATTCCCAATTCGCCATTTATACTTTTTCTAATGAAAAAGGTAACTTTTATCGGGTTCGGCCGTCAAACCAGGTTTTCATTAGTTTTAAAGCTTCCGCTACGAACCGTTACTTATCTTCAACACAGAGATGGCGACGTTCAATGTTTTATCCATAGAGATATAAAAATAAAGGGAACAAGGGATATATGCTACCTGTAAGTGGAAGTGATAGAGGTCAAGAGAGAGATGGATGCCGAGTGTCCTATCTGTCTCTTTCTAGTCGAGCGCTGTGATTGGTTGTTACAATGAGCCGCCAAGACGACCACGCGACGTCAGGAGGGGAGAAAGCAGACCAAAATTTCGTTTTGTAAATATGCGTGTAGAATTAAAATTCGTTAAATATTCGAACGTTAACAAAATAATAATTGAACGCGATTTGTTTAAAAATGAGGCATTGTTTGAAATACAAGGCGGAGTCTTATCCTGGATGTAACCGCAGTTTTCACTCGTAAGAAAGTACAAATACGTAACCTCAAATAATTATATGTTATTTTTTCCTACATTAAAAAAAATATGTAAATGTAGGCTACCGAAGGATGTAGATATAAGGCGTAAATGGTTGAATATACTTCAACTACCTTTGTATTTTGAAGTGAAAACAGCATATATTTGCAATGATCATTTTAGCAATGACAGTTTTTTTGAATTGGATGGAGAAAAATGTATAGCTTTATCGTCGTTGGCGCGGCAGCCAATCCCAGCGCGTGACTAGAAAGAGACAGATAGGACACTCGGCATCCATCTCTCTCTTTGCCTCTATGACTTCCACTTATAGGCTTGTTCCCTCTATTCTTATATTTCTACGGTTTTATCTCATCCTTCAGCTGGACTTTTATATTGAAAATTTATTTTTTATCAAAAATATAATAAATACATTTTAATTTGATGTTAATAAAGATTTGGGTAGATTTTAATAAAAATTTATGCGACAGAGATAAAATGACGCGTTAGTATTGATAGCGTGTTCTCTGAACCCAGCCAATAAGATCTGTGTAGTGCTCATGGCCTTTCTTGAATAACAATAATTCATTCGCTTTCTGAGCGAAAATACGATTTTCTTCAATGTTGAATAATTCTGTTAAAAAAATATATATATATTACAAATTACGGGTGTGCAAATTAAAATTCGCGCTTTCGAATGATAATAAATGTCACTTTTATGTGATCTCACTTACGTGGTAGTTTGACAGAAACTACCACGTAAAAAAGAGAATATTTCATTGTACATGCTTACGTATAGCAGAATAAAAAGTCCTGCTGAAAAAACAAACCCTATTATCACATTCTTTTATTATCACATATCTCCTTATAAACGCTAATAATACTATACGCATTTCTAATTAATACTATATACATTTATAATTATATAAACAGCACCTTTTTTGATTTATATCACATTTAATTTGCTATTATTAAACGCATATCCACACCGGAGAAGAAGCAAAGACAAAAACACAGGAAGCATTCTCTGTAAACGTGATTACGCATGTGCACACGAATACACATAAATTATCATTATAAATATTACCTTTTGAGTGTATTCGTACATATTCAGCAGTGACGTACAATGTGCAATGAAAATAATTTAAATCGGCAGTGCGTAAAATATATTTAACGATTGCTCTTATCTCCGAATTATTTCAAGAAGAATTACGTCTATCTCTATATTATAAATGCAACTACTTCATTGCTTTTAAAATCACATTTTGATTCCCGATTAACTTGTATCTCACGCTCAAGTATTTTCACATAAAAATGGATCAAATCGTGAAATTCTTTCTCCTCTCATACTATAGCTGCAAAAGTTAAGTTTATCACATTATGTTACGAATGCCACTCGAACCAGTTGCTATTCCGGAGCTTTCTCACGAACGTTATCGGCACTTATCGTGTATATATTCATTCTTTATGATCTGCATTCGTCAGGATTCCCGGCAGAACAGTGCTCTTCTTGAACAAATGTCGCGAGCACCTCATCTTCGAAGTTGGGGTCGAGCAAGATGTCTATTCCTTTCATTCCGTTCTCAGAATACTTTTGAAACAAGACTTTGGACACTTCCCACAACGAACGATTGCGTTCTATCATGGAGACGAGATGCGCCGTCGATGGGAACAGCAACGACAGATTACTTGAAAATTCAATAATACGATCAGTATAAAAATATTAACAACCAAATGTTCCAATTATCGAGTATACTCACGTGAAGATGGGTATGGCCAAGTTGGTGATGAATTCTATCTGGAGATCGGGAATAGACGCACGTTCCCTGTCCATCATTTCGACGGGCGCGCTACCCATGCTCTTCTCCAGATCGCCTTGCGTGAAGAACTCGTCGTATATCTGCTCCTGAATGAAAAAATAAGACTTTGCTTAAGATCATCGATAAAAAAAATGGTAGTGAATCGAACGCCAGTGGGCAGAACTCACCGCGGTCTTCTTCACGACCTTCCAATCTTTGGTTTGATCGCCAAGATCGCAGCAATTCATAAGCAATTCAAACAACAGTTTCCGATGCCTCGGATTGTCCTTATTGTATCCATCACGGACCATCTCCTCTTGCTTTTTTCTGCTGCGGAAATGGGAGGCTAAGTCAGTGGCAAGTATGTTGTTTCTTAGTAGGTCCAAGACTTCGCTATACTCGTCGCTCTCGAAATTTTCAAATATATTGCAGCCTTCGGTGTTTAAAATGCACATTGTCTGTGCGAGATGATGCCTCTGTTGAACAATCGGAAAATCGATTCAGTTCAATCGCCATTAAATTGTTAAAAACTATTTTTAAGCGATAACATTCCCACATCTTACTTCCATAACAGAGCCTTCCGAGCTGTAAAGGCTTGCCAGTACAGTTCCCCACTTAGTCTGAAAGGTATTATTAGTTCCCCTGTGATCTATATCGTGGCATAAACACGATACGAGGAACACCAGAGCCTGAAGCGGCGTCATATAGTTCTCCTCGACGAGCTGCAAATTTTTTATCAGGAGATACCCGAAGTGTGTCACGGAGAATGCGTGTATCCAATTGTGATAAGGTGCGTCTCGATAACCTTTCTTGATATATAGCACAAACCTGGGAAATGTTATTTTCGTGATCGATAATTTTAAATGTTACGAGAGAAGCAGCGGAGACGCTTGTGCGTGACACTTTGATATTTTCTATATACCTCGCGAGCGTCGGAATTTTAATCCTCCAATGTTGGAGAAAAGGCAAGTCTGTGATCATCTTAATGACGTAGCAAGGTAAGTGTTTGTAGGGCACACTCTTCGGATTGAATTGGAACTTGTTGAAATTTTTAATGCTATGATCGTCCCCGCAGCTTAACAAGGCTTCCACGATGGATTCCTCCACCTAGAAATAAAATTCCTATTTACACACAGCAATGATATATATATATATATATATATATATATATATATATATATAGCAACCATAAAACATATTACACGCGTAATTAAATATCGTAATTATATATTATATTCAATTGGAAGTTAATCTCGGAAGACATTCACCTTCATGTGATACATCATAATCTCATTGCTAAGTTTGTTTCGAGCTTGAGCGTCCTGCATTTTCTTGTAAACAATACTATGCATTATCGATATACCACAATAAATACTAAACGCCGTTGCGATCTCTTCGTCAGAGACATCGAAGTATAAACTATCCATCTTATTGCACAGTTGAGCCACTCCTAAAATATAATGGCGTTTTAGTACATTTTCACAATCCCAGGCATGGTTTAGTGGTCAGCAATAGCGAGAAAAGTGAGTTTCATTCTTGTAAAAATAAGAAAATAATGAAGTCAACTTTAAAAAGTAAATAAAATTGAGTATTATCCAAATTTATTTATTTATTGAACATGATTTCTTGTGATTGAGTTTTTTTTTAATGGTTCACACATCAAGTAAGGAAAGAAAGAAAAAGTGATAAAAGTAGGCTTTTTTCTTAAAAGTGAGGAAAAGTGAGAAAAGTGAGTCGCTTTCGTGCCTGCATTCCCCTTAATGAACTTACCAATAATGCCACTCTCATCTCGTATCGGGAAGCACAGAATATTCCTAGTTCTAAACCCTGTTAACTCGTCGATTCCGCGATAAAAGAGGGGATGATTATACGCATCGCGAATATTAAGTAATTTACCGGTGGTCGCTACGTGACCAGCTATACCTTGCCCGATAGGTATTCTCATTTCGGGCGCATCCTAGAAACATTTAGGAAGAACGTTATCTATAAAATGTCAGCATCTTTAGTTCAAGAAATTCTTTAAATTAACGTACACGTTACTCACTTCTTTCGTGGAAAGACCATCGAACACCTTCGCAACTAGATCTTGTTGGTCAGGATCCAGAAGAAATAAAGAACACCTCTCCGCGTTCGTTAATCTTCTGACTTCCGCCATAATCTCGCGTAAGAGATCAGGTAAGATGCCTAGATGAATGTGCAGAAAGATGATTAAAAACTAATTACACGCTGGCCACTATACTCGGACAACTAATCACCATACCTAAATGCGTGTAAAGTTTTCTGGAAACAGCTAGTAAATTCTGGCATTGTTGCTTCACGCGAGTTTCCTCAAAGTGACGCAAGGAACTCAGTATGTATCCAAGGCAGAATCTATGAAATTTCATTGAAAATGCACTCGACAATTGAAACAGTTACGTTTTAACAAACATCTAGCAGCATTAGTGTTACCTAAAGCATTCCTGAACTATTTCTGTACAAGCACGCTCAGATTCATCCCCATTCATACAATTTGTACATTTCATATAATCTACAAGGCATACAAGCAAGGCTGTGTAATCCTTAAAAGGATGCTGTATAGGGATTGTCAAGAGAGAAAGACTGGAACTTGACGGCGTGTCAACTATTCTATTGATATATCTCAACAACTCTTGATTGAGTTTCTCAACGTTTGTGACTAATGTTGTCCTATTTGCCACAGCTTCGTGTAAAATATTGTTCTTTATCTGTAATAAAGTTTTATATTCGACTTTTATATTTGCAAAAATTGCACGGTACATGTAAAAAAATATGTCGTTGAAAAGGCATTGCTTTTTTGCAAGTAGGTACACAGAATTGTTTTGATAGCAGACACATCATATAAAAATTATGTCAAGTGTCACTCATACAAAAATTCACAAGGATAGCCAGTTATCTCGCTGATATCACAGATAGAATTACGATAAAAAATCAAATCTGTAGTCTTATCACAGAAGTGGTACAAGCAAGCGGTTTAAAGTACCTGCTAAGTTTTCTGAATGACTACATCATACCGATAATAATTTACAGACAATTAATAACTTTCCTATAGGAGTGCTAAATATATATACAAACAACACAAGATAGAAATCGGTACTTTCTTGATCATAATCGAATACTTTTACAATTGTTTAGATAAAATCACTTGGATATCCAATGACAATGCGTCCACAGTTGCATATCTCTACAGGACCAAAGGACTTACAGGAAATCTCAACTCTCTGTCCAAAATTTCTTCGCCTATCACATGAATAACCATCTCCTCCGACTCCAACAATACTGATATGAGAAAGACCACTTTTGCATTCGTCTCATTCTGTACCTGTAACGGACAAAATGAGATTAATAACAAGAAAAACTGATCAAGCACGAAGAATAGACAAGCTGATATGATCATCCAAGTGTGTCATGAAAAAAGAGGAGAGGACACGGTCAGCCACGGTGTTCCACCGGCTAGCAGACGACTGCGAAATCATTCACGATCTCGTGTTACCATTGGTCAATGACGCGACGATTCGGCGTCGATCGTTCAAAAATCGCGGAGACGCGGTCAAGAAGCAAAGATCGCGTGTACGTACGTATCTATTCAACCGCAGTTGCACCTCCGTAAGCGACAGATCGCAGAGCTGCTCGACCAACGAGAGGATCTTCCTCGGGTCGGAGATCAGATCCGCGCTCATTTCGTAAAATCGCCGCGTCCGTCGTCGGGAAACTCTTCTCTCTCTCTCTTCCTCCTCGGTCTCTCGCAGATTATTTCAAAGAGGAACACGCGAGCACGCCGTCGCCCGCGCGCAACAATAATAATCCGTCGACGGCGTCGGCCGCCTCGTCTTCATGCTCTTCCGCGCGAATTAACATTGACATTAATATATCGACCTGAAAACAAAATAAACAGCGGTACTCGCCGGTTAATATTAAACACGCGCCGATCGCGGCTTCCTTGGGAATTGACTGTCGAGAACTCGGTTGTTTAGCCGCACTGTGCGCGCCTATATTGATAAACAGGAATCGCGCGTGACCGCGTCGAACGACGCGTTCTTTTGCGCGTTTTGTTGAAAAAATAAGTTTCGGTTCGTTCGGATTTTCCTTAGCGCAGCCGCGCACCTGCCGCCAGCAATGTTGCCAAATTAGGGGATTTAGTGCAACTATACTACAATTCGTGTTGTATTCGCATGTATTCATATTTTACGAGAAAAATCATATTTGCTCATTAAATTATTTTTGGGGTCTTTCTTGCGAATATATTTTGCCCTCTACAGAGTCGGATTTTGCAATATTGAGGCCCTAAAAATTTATAATAATCAAAAATACGGACTCCTACTGCACTCAAAGTGATGCGAGTGTAGTATCTGAAGTGTATCACGAAGCCATATTTTTGTTTATTATAAATTTTTAAGGCATTAATTGCAAAATCAAGCTCTACACAGGAATGGATACGTGTGCGAGAAAGACTCCAAAAATAATTTGATGAGCAAATATGATTTATCTGAAATAAAATATGGAAAAGTGCAGATGTGACAGAAAGTGTAGCCTAGGTATACCAAATTCCCTAACTTGACAACACTGGCTGCCGGCCTCTGCGCGCATCATGTGACCCCCCCGGATGACGGTGATTCGTCCCATCTTAAATCTAAGTATCGACACATAATTTTTCTCCTAGGACGGAAGTGTAAAAAATGAAATATTTTCAAATTAGATTTACACTTTTCACGAATTCACGCTAGACGAGAAGATTTCTTCACCCCTTTGGAGCGTTGATTATGAATTTTCTTCTCTAACGTGAACTTGTGAGAAGTGTAAAGTTTTAATTTAAAGATATTTCACTTTTCACACTTCCATCCTAGGGGGAAAGTTCGATCGATATTCTGGTGAATCGTGTTTAGAAGTTGGTTCATCGAGAGGCAACGGTCGCTGATGGAATGTACAAGTTGGCGACAACTTTGAATTTGTTTAAAACGGCTCCGACGTGCGAACGTCAGATGCGGATCGGAACGCGAATGAACAGATTCTTCTGGATGCTCTTTCAGCGAAGCAGCGTGTACATGTTGAAATTACACACGATTCAGGAGTTGGTGAGGAAACGGTTTCCTTGTTTTCAAACGATCGTCGCTCACAGAGCGGTCGGTTGTTGCTCGTTGCAACACTGTTGCATATTTGTAATGCTAGTTTTATGACAGTGTGGTATCCCGTGTCAGTCTAATAATAATCTCTACGATGCTCATTACATATTGTTTACAATGCGCGAGATACGTGAATGCAACAACAATGGGGCGGGGAGGTTAACACCTTGCATATGCCAGCAAGTAATGCTGTGATTGAAAACCTTCTATAATAATTAATGCACAAATTGTGTGAATACTGGTCTGTCAATAATATATCCCGTAAGAATGAGCGGGGAGGCAGAGTATAATGTCGCTGCTAGGTACAGAACAGTCAGGAAACATCTGGACAACTTGGGGTACAAGCAAGCATTATCGTTAGACGCTTTGCCCCTGATAGAGACTTTGCTAGCTGATCTTATTCAAACTACTGACAGTCTCAAGCATTTTAAATCCATTGCTCAAGAAAACGTCGAGGTGAGTTATGGTAATACTATTGCTCCAGATACGAGATTGTTCTAAGTTTCTTCTTGAGAGCTTGAGGAACTGAGTGACAGTTGAAGTAAGTTTCGTCGCCTGACTTCATGCATGTCTCAGATACGAGAGAACTTTAAGCAATCATTGTTGTGTCACTTTATTTACAAATAATATGACTGTACACAATTATTTCAATGTCACATCTTTATGATTTGATGGTGACATTGCGTTCTGTACATAGGCATGCAGCCAACTGCAACTGGCAATTGATCCTTACAAGTGTGATAATGCAAGATTAGTGAGGGAGTGCAACCAGCTTCATGCAGATCTGATAGAGGCTAAAGAGACGCATCAGAAACAAGTCAAGGAACTCAAGAAGCAGATACACAAGTTAGAGTGCGAGTGCAATGATCTGCAGTTGGCATCCTCGCGTAACATACATAAAATAAAGGAGTTGGAAAGCGAGTCAGCAGCCAAGTCTAAGAAGATACTGGAGCTGCAGGGCAAATGTTTGAAGCCAACTATTACTAATGCTGGACTAGGTGATTTTAATATTAATTAATTTATATAATACTAATTATATTTATATTGAAGTGTTCGTATTGAAGTAATACCGTGTCTCAATAAAATTTTTATAGCTGCTAAGAAGCGTCCCAGCTTTCCTCTCCGAAGGCCAGTGTTAGAGTCTGAGCCAATGCCGAGGGCAAAGAGCGGCAGTGCGCTACCAAGATTGAGCAGCATGGAGCCGAAGGTAATAGACATGATAAGCATGGCAGATCACAAAATAGGCAGTTTAAGTCACGAGGTAACGAAATTAAGAGGGGAACTATTACTGCAGACTGACACAGTACAGACCCTTGAGAAACAGGTACACTAAGCATTAATATCTAGATATATGCATGCATTAATTGGGCATATTTTTTCTCACGAGGAAATATTCGGCATGGTAATAATTGCCGAGGCAAAAGTAGTAAAATATTCTTGGTAGTGCATATACAAAAATAAAAAATGATATAAAGTTTAGCGCAAATATAAGAAAAAAACAAACATCTTTCACAGTTAACCACGAAAGAAAAAGAAATGAATCGGCTGAGAAAGATGTTGGAGGGCGGTCGTTCCTATGCCGCAGTTAGCAAGGATTGCGTTTGCAAAAAGTTGGAGAAGAAAGCTGGCGCTACGCATGATGTTATGGAAGTTAACGAGATGAGAATCCTTCAGCAAACCAAATTGGAATTGGAACAGCAGCTGAAAGGTGAGGGACGGAGAAATTCTTGCGACACGTATTCTCGATTGAAGTTCATTCACCAGAATATCCGATTTCATGCGTTCAATCTTTCTTGAATGATGCAGAAGCTCTAAATAAACAACATGATGCTATGTCTCAGGCGATGAAACTAGCAGCGCGAAATGAGGAGCTAGAGAAAGAATTGAGAGACATAGATCACGTTGCGTTAGCTGTAGAAGCCGACTGCAATTCTGCGGTTAAAGAGAATAACAGGAGAGTCTGCAGGCTTCAGGTACGAACAGTCGTAATCGTAATAATTACATTTACACGTTCCTTCAAAAACTGAATTATTTGTTCACGCACTTACGGCGCTTGTGTAGGAGAAATTGGAGGACGTGATGACGCAGGTGCACGTTTTAGAGCGCGAGTTGACTGTAGAGCGGAGAGAAGTGCAGGAGTTGAGGGCGGATCTCGAAGCGTGCAGGCTTGAGAAACGTAACATCCAACGCACCTTGGAATCCACGTTAGACGAAAAGAAACAGATGACCGACAGGATCAATCAACTAACAATCATCGGTAAGTCAAGATTCCTTCACCTCGATCTCCTCTTTCTGTTAACAGCCTGTATTACTCTTGTCGAGGGTGAAAACTTAAAATGATATTGCAGAGAAAAATTTAAACGATGAGATAGGAAGACTGACCAGAGAAAATGAAAGCCGTACACAAGGTATCGTTCGGTCACGGTGTACTAATGAAATATTAGAGGAACACGTATGTGTCGTGCAAAGTAACGAAGGTAATGGTCGAACGCGGCGAGAGAATAAAGGGGGAAAAGGATGGCCAAGATAAAGGGATGATACCTTTGAGGAAAAAGATCGGCGCGAACGGCAGGCCGATTTCCAAACGCAGCGCGATAAAATTACACGTATTTTTGCGGAACGGTTATTTTGGAGGAATAACCACCGACGCACACAAACATACACAAATAGTCTTATCAGAGAAGATATAGCAAGGTACCTGTATCTCTTTTCAGCGTCCAAGAACCACCTAGGCGAAAAATACGGCGTGGATCACCAGACGATGGCTAAAGACGTGGAAATTACGAAAGACGCGACCAACCTCGACATGCAGAGACGGATCGACGAAGCGAATCTGCAAATCGCATCTGTAAGTCAGCTCTATTTGGATGCCGACCGGTTTTAATGAAATTTACGATGCCAAGGCGACATTCACTTTGCAGCTGCAACAGTCGATACAACGATTAGAGGCGGAACGGGATCATTATAGGAAGGAGTACATCAACTGTCGAGAAGAGCAGCGCAGAGTGTCCGAGAAAGATAACGTGAGAACGAAATCTGAGGAAAAATCGTCGAAAGTGCGAGGGAATTATGGGATTTTATCTTTTTCCTTTCTTAATGGAAACACAGGTCGAGCTATGGACACGGATTTGCGAATTGAAGCGCGAGTTGGGCAACAAGGAACAAGCGTTGAGCGAAGCGCAACGTCAACAAGAGGAATTGTATCACGAAAAGGAGGATTTGGAGGTGCGATTGCGAACCTACAAAGGTCAACAGAGGCAGGCATGTGTTCCTTGCAGATCATGCAGCCTGTGCAAGCCTGTTCGTATTTGCACCTGCTCGACCGGCCCGTCGATAGCTACTGGAGATATTAGCACGACGAAGGTATTTACAGTCGCACACTACATTTTGCAAGCGGGACGTTTACTGTCTGGAAAAACCTGGGATTCTCAGGGAATTGTTTATGTCTGGAAAAATCAGAGAATTCTCAGAGAATTTTATTGAAAATCGGGACACTTTAAATGGATCATTTATCTGCAAATTGGGTTTGAGTAGACACCCCGGCAAGTAAAATATACACGTTGTTCATTTCTCGCGTCAATTCGATTTCGCGTAGACGATGTTTGAACGTCTGGAACGAGAACGGGATACAGCCAGGGCGGATGTCGAGCGATTGATAGAGGAGCGCGACGCATTGCGAGAGAGGCTCAAGGTAAGCCAGCTGAATTATTAATTCGATCAATCGGGCGTTATCCTATTCATCGTTGGTTTCTAGCGTTCTCGTTTCGATACATTGTAATTAAGTACTTACAGCTAACACTGCAGTTCGTAACCCCTTAAGACTCAAAACATTTTTTACCTGGAAACTTTGTATATAAATGCTATTTTCCCTTCGAAAATTGAAAATCTTTGGAAGAAATCATAAAAGAATATTTTGAGTTTACACGTGAATCCCAAAAACCCGCCGTCACAGTGACGATGGTTGAGCACATAGCGAACCACATGTCGATACAATGTCTGACCATCACAATTGTGGTGGTTGGATCTCAAAGGGATGATCTTCTGATACCTTGTTTCATCCGCTAAATGCACTTGTTCGATGATCCGTATACAAATAACAATCAATATTGCTGATTACGACTAATAACATATCACATGTTTGTCGTGAACGCACGATTGGGCGGCCTATCGGTAGATGATGGCGGAGACGAACACGAGCGAGCAGCTTCGTCTCAAAGAGAGCTTGGTCGAGGCGGAGAAACGCTTGAAGCACGCGGAGAAAGAACGGCAAGATTTGCTGGTCACTCAGGGAACCAGGAGAGCGGCGATCAACGGCCTCGAGGATCAGCTGGATGACGTGCAGGAGGAGCTGCGCCGCACCAAGCAGGAACTGGTGACGCAGCGGACGCAGTACTTTCAACTACGGTAACGCTCTTCGTTTTATTTCCGCGCATGAGACGTGTGCTGACTTCCTCCTTCCAAATGTTCCTCGCTGCAGAACCCTGCAGGATCAAACGGATCAAGCGCTCGGAGACGCGCAAGGTCAATTGTCGCAGGCGGAATCGGAGCTGAATAAGGCGATAGATCGCAACAGAAGCATGGAACAGCAACAGACGCACTTGAACGATCAGATCAAGGAACTGAAGCAGGAGATTAATGCTCTGCGCTCGAGCATGACGCTCTTGGATCAGGAGAAGGACCGATTGCTGGTGAGCGAGACTAACGCGACAAATGCGACGCTCTCCTTCGGACGCCACGACATTTCTTTTATTCGGCGACTCTTACAGATGGCTTTGGACGAGAAGACGGAAAAGATTGCCGCGTTGGAGCGAGAACTGGTGCACAAGGACCAACAAACGGAAGGGATGCAGCAACAGGTCCGCGACTTACAGCATAAGAACGAGTAAGTACCTCTGTGTTTATCTACAACGTACGATTGTTCGTAAAGAATAAGTGGCACGTGTCTCTCTCTCCCCTTTTCCCCTCCCTTCTTCCCTCGGGAAAGAGAGAGACTTCAGACTTCACCGAGTTACTTAACAAGTAAATAAATAACGCTCTCTCGCTCGAGCACGCGAGAGAGAAACAGCTTAACCCTGGAACGGTAAGGTTGAGATCGGATGCGACCCCACGGCTCGTTTATTTTACTGCGTGCACGCGCTGTTCCTCTTTTTAAGGAATGTCTTATGTTATCATTTACTTCTTTTGTCTATTTTGTACATTAATTACGTAAAAAATGAACAGAGCTCACGGAATCGGATCCAACGCCACTTTCCCGGATACGTTGAAAACCCACCTTGCCGTTAGAGGGTTAAAGCAACGGTAATCTCGACGACATTATATACAAGATTGAGTCCGCCATCAGTACACCCTCAGTTCGATCGTCACTCGACACATACACACACACACACACACACACATGCACACACGTGAGAGTCACGTAGAAATGTAGAAACGAAACAGGATGCCCTTCGTGTGAGATGTGAAATTACAAGTGTCCAACGTCCTACATGTTAAGCTAAGAGCGAGCTGCTCGAGCTGCTCAGATCACCGGTGGTCTTGACGTTCTCATTGAGGAATTTCGCCAAGCTCACTGCGGGTGGCTGGCAGCCATTCGGCGAGATCAGACTGTTACTCTCCAGCTCCTCCAACGCCTCCGTGCTGTCGGCGATCCTCTTGTAACCGGGTCGGCATTCGCACCTAGCCTTCGGTCGCGACTCGTCCTCTCGCCACAGCCGGCTCCTCGACGTCCGTTGCGCGACCAACCACTCGCCCGCGGTGCAGGGGCCCTGCGTGTACAGTTTGTAGCAGACCCGGTTGATCATCACCATGCCGGGCGTGCTCTCGCAGTCGTCGCTCTCGTCCTCCACGCATTTACCGGCGTTCCTCATCACGTTGGTGCAGCCGCACACGCCGTTGTAGCCGATCCCGTCGAGGGACGGCCTCACGTTGTGGTCGTAGAGCACTATCTGCCCGTTCGGACACGGACCCTTCGTGCCGATCTTGTAACAGGTTCTCTCCTGCGGGAAGTACAGTCTGCCGCGTTTGCAGGGCACCGGCACGCAGGTGGACGAGTCGATCAGCATGTAGCCGTTCTCGCAGGGTCCTCTCGTGTGCAGCCGGTAGCAGAGTCCGTTTTTGTAGAGCGCGTGGCCCGGCTTGCAGACGCATCCGGCACGCACCACGTCCTCCTGCGCGCTCGATCGGCCGTCCGTAGTGACTACGAAGTGATGTCCTTGTGGACATGGACCGACGCCGCCTGAGAATGAATGTCGATCGTTAAATAGTCGCAGTTCCACGAACGCGGTCCGTGCTCAGACCGGTTTTGGTAAACGGATCACGCGGTAGGTCTCTTCTCTTCCGCTGAACTGGTTGTATTAACTTGTACTAGTTCTCCCCTCCTCTTTCTTCCACCGAGTCTTAACATCAGGACCGCGGATGGGATCACTTTCGACTCACTTTTTCTGTTGCCGCGCAATTATTTGTGAGCTTTTTTGAACTTTACAACATTGCCTAGTTGTTTTATGGCGAGGAAAGCTTCCCAGTGATAAAGATCCAAAGAAATGGGGGAAAGGAGAATCTACGAACGGGTCTCGCAAGTGATCCCGCACGTCTGTCCCTTTCTTTTCCAAGTGCTGTAAGTGCACACCGATTCAGCGAAAAAGAGCAGACCCAGCGACCACTCACCTAGCTGATAGCACATGCCGCTCGGCTCGTGATAATGAGGTAGTCGAGAGTGGCAGCCGCACGTCCCGCCCGGGAGAAACAGCTCTCCCGGCTCCGAGCACGGGCCCTTCGTGTAGTGTTCGTGGCAGCCGCCGCCGCTGCCCAGCCAATGGTACCTGCCCAGTTCGTCGTTCGTCGAACACGAACAAGTCGCCAGGCCCTCTTCGTCGGCGACGAGCAGTTCCCCGCGTGGACAAGGCCCTCTGCTGAGCTTCGGGTAGCACTTGCCGTCCTTGAGCCAGTAGATCTCACTCTGCTCGCCGCAGGGCTCGGGCTCTCGACAAACCCCCCATCGTCGTTTCGACCTGAGGACGGTTTGTTTTCGGAGAGGTTTATGCGAGGAGGAGCGCACGCACGGACGTTTTCATCCGGTTTCTCGTGAGCGAGTGGACGACGTTAAAAGGGAGGTTGCGTTACTTACCCCGATCTGCCAGGCGCGTCCGGCACCGGCGCGAAGAACTGACCCTTTGCGCAGGACGCTTTCGTGAATATCGGATGGCACAGGGCGTCCCGGGGCGACTGCGCGGTCCCCGGCGGACATCTGCACTCCGCCGTCGTCCCACCGCCCCCGGCCGTGGGGCCCAACTCCATCGTCTCCGGGCAGGGAGCGCCGATCTGCAATGAACACCGCCGTTGTCGGAAATCGTGTGAGTCTCTCGATTCAGTTGGGCGAGAAAGATAGATAAGCGCGTTTTACTAATCCAAATCCACAATAGGTGAAATAAAGCTTTTAGCTTGTTGCTCTAAGAGCTAAATTGTAACGTGATTTTCAGCAAAAAGCGTTTCCAGCGCTACTAGACGTCGCAATTCGTAAGATTTAGGCGTTATTGGAACTTCTGGCAGCGCGGGATACGCCTTTTGTTAGAAATTGCGTTATATTTTATTGCTCAGAGCAAAAGGCTAAAGGTTTACTGCACCTGTTGTAAATCCGGACTGAGAGCAAAAAGCTAAAATCTCTTATTAGTCCCTTAAATATTGAAATATACGTTTGCAAATGTATATTCCAATATTTAAGGAACCTGACCTTTGATTTATTTCGCACTATCATTTCAGCCCTAGGATATAAAGTCCAGATTCGCAATAGATATAGTAAACTTATCTTCCAATCACAATCGTTTATTAGAAGAATAATCGGCCATGATTGGTCGGTTTACTTACGTCTTAAAGCAAGATTGTGGACAAGGGCTGTTAAGAGCCCATTTCATTTCTAATCTTGGGGCTGAACCTCCTCAGAGCGTTACACAGGAAGGAGATACAGTGAAAATTACATAACAAGTAGAATGAAAGGAAAACGAAGAGAGAACGAGAAAAATACAAGTGAAAGAAAAAACAGAGGAATAAAAATGAATATAAAAATGTGAGAAAAAGGCAAATTGAGAATAAGAGTAGCGATTGTTTTTTTTTTGCTACACCCTCAAAAAAAGAGAAAGAGAGAGAGGGAGAGGAAAAAATCGGGCACCTGCCTGGAATATCTTGTAGCACTTCCCGTCGGCCGGCCAATAGAGCAGCTGCCAGCCACGTGGTTGCGCGGCGCAAGGGTTGTTCGACGGATCGGCCCAGGGTGGCGGCATTATCGCGGTCCTCGCGTTGGCCGCTGACAGTATGCAGATGATACTCCCTAGGAGGACCCGCATCGCGCTGCGAAGGAGAATCGAGTCGAGGCGCACCACTTAATGGAACTCATTACTCAACAGATGTGTTGATGTCACCGCGCGGTGGAAACCGAGAGCGTTACCTTTCATCTTCGGCGCGTGCCGTGTTAATAGTTTCACCGAACGCGCCGCCGCTGCGTCGCCGGTCAGGTGGAGAGGAGCGTTTGAGAGGCGCAGCATTCGAAACGAGACTATCACGATAGCGCGAAAACCGCCGTTGATGCGTGTGTCGCGCGCGCACGCTGTACGTGCGTGCCCGTACGTGCGTGCGAGAACGAGTGGGAAGAGAGCAAAAGCGCGCACGAGCGCGCGACAGCGAGCAAAATGACCATACTTTCACTGTTTCACTATGGCAATGGCATTGTCCCTGGCGGCGGGACCAGGGCCCGGGATGGCAACATGTGCGTGGAATAAGAATAACCGTGCTCGTATAAAATGCGTCGCGCGTGCGGAAAGCAAAAGGTCTTTTCTCTTTTTTCTCTCCTCTCTCTCTCTCTCTCTCTCTCTTTCTCTTTTTATATTTATTCTTCTCTTTTTTCCTCCTCGTCTCTCGTTGCCCCCGCGAGTCCGGTCGGCCACGCTGGACAATTGTGGGAGGACCTCTCGAGCGTCGACACGTAAGAAACGGAATTAACAGCCGTAACGGAGACTATTAAGGCCATTCTACAATGTCTGTAAGAGTAGAGGCCTTAGCAGAACGGTTATGCTTGTAATTTTAATTCTGAGAGTGTTGACAATCGCGATCTTGGCGCAGAAGTAAGACATCATAGGTCTCTCCCCAGTAAGCAAGAAATCATTAACACAATGTTATTACGATGACATTTTATAACATGTAACGTTTACAAATATGTAGTTCATGTATTCATTAAATTTCACTCGTTAGGAAAAGATGGAAATGACGATGTAACTAGGATGCAGACCGAGTAACTAGGATCTCAGCCAGTCGAATGCTATGGTCTGTTCTTTATAGCTGAACTGGCTGCACTAGTTCAAGAAATTTACATATATATTGAAACATGAAGCGTGCATACAAGATTCTCACGCCGTCAGTGTACGTGAGTTTCTTCATCTAGCGCAACCAGTTCAGCTATAAAGGACAGAACCCCTAGTTACTTCTGCTTACGATCAGATTTACCGTCAGTTCTATTTTCTTCCAGAGCACACAAACCTAAGGGAGAATTTATATCTCGACAGAAAAGCAGAAAGCTGAAGAGCAGCAGCCAATCAGAACTCGCGTGAATTCTCTCTGAAGCAATATCCTGATTGGTCCTTCAGTCTAAATTTACGTTTTGTGTTTACAGTTATAACAATTGGTGTGCGAAAGTCCTCAAGTTCATAAGAAGTAAGAATAAGGAATTAACCAACCACATTCGAATGTAAGGAGAATAATCGACTATGATTGATTAATTTCTTATTCTTACTTCTTATAAACATACTCCTCTGCTGCTCATTGTAGACCACGTTTTACAATCATGTCTCACAGGCTTCCAGCCGTATTCTTGCGGACATTTTAGAATGGCCATTAGCGTTGAGAACGATTCGAACGGTGTTCGGTCGATTCTTCCGGCGTTAAGCCGTTGCCGAACGTATAGAGCGCATTTCTGCGCGACGACAATCGGGACGCATTACACGCGTCGTTGATTCCGGGGGAAACATGACAGCATCCCGCATCTTCTTTTTATTTTCTTTCCTCTCCTTTTTCTCTCCCTTTTGCCTCGCGCTAGTCGAGGAAGCAATTAAACCGCATGAGCTCTCGTCGACGTTCGAGTGCTGTTGCTGAACGAGCTTTCTTCCGCGACTTTCCACCGCGGCCACGAGGCGAGTTTATCCGCGGTGTGTTTCGCTAATTGTCGGCGCGCGCGTAGGATTTTATCGTCGCGCTTGACCCGTTCGATCGCATTCCGAAATAGCGGCTAACGCCGCATGTCCTGCGCCGAGGAGAGTTTTATCCCCTATATATGCACCTCCGTTTTTTAGACAATTCATGCGATTTAGTGAACCACGACGACGCTTGTGGAACATGAAGGATCCCGTATCCTGGAAACAACCGCGCTACCGCGTTTTGACCGGCGGGCCGCGAGCGGACGAGGAAAAAATAGGAAATAGAGATGAATTTCCTTTTCCTACACGTGTAATTAACGCTGCGCGTATCGTTGAATCGCCGTAACGTCCGAGCCGGAACAAACGAGCGGGATTATGAATCTTCGCGTTATACCCGGCGTTATATGTCGAATCCGTGCACGATCGATGCGCGCTCGCGAGCACCACGTATTCATTTTACAATTGTCTAATTAGCGCTTGCCAGGCGGCTGCAAATTACATCAGAACTTTTTCGTGTTTCGCGGCATTCAATCTCACACGTGCGACTGCGACAACGAACGCGTCTCCGCGGCTGATCGCTCGCCCGCTCGCTCGCTCGAGAGAGAGAGAGAGAGAGAGAAAAGTGAAATTCCATTATATTCTCGAGATGAACGTCCTTAATGTCTTAACGTCAACAAATAAACGAGGAGCTCTCATCAAACGAGACGTCAAGCTTATAAGCGCGGCTGACTTGATTAAGATGGATATGTACATGGAATAAATTATGTTGTTGAATCAATAGAATTTGCACGATTGCATGCGATAAATTTTCTTGATTCAATAACAATATTTATTGAAAGTAATAGTCGAGTTATTGAAACAATATTGTATTAGTTTCAAAGATATTATTATTATTATTACTATTGAATCAAGAAGAGAGATTTACATATATAAATTTAATTTGAACATATATAAATATATATATATATTTTTACATATATAAATTTAATTTGAATTTTTGTACTTGTATATGTATTAATTTACATATGTAAATTATTTATTAAGAAGATACTAAAATCGATGACGAACTCGGTAAGTGTTGGTAACATAGAAGCGATCCTCAAAATATGATGTTACATAAACACGTGACACGATCACGTTACTCTTTCCGTATTTCTCGTATATATCTTACGTAAATGCGATATCAGTGTGAATGCGACGAATGTATGCTACTCTGTTTTGTTACATCTAACGGAATATCCAGTCAAGACGTATACAAATTTTTCCGCAAACCTTTCGTATTTTTTTAGACCTCCGAATTTCTTTGAAAAGCTATAGAAATATTCCTTGAAATTTTCCTGTTTCGAGCACTTTCGACACGTTCGGTATGCACAAGCTGCAGGATTTCTGTATCGGGAAAATATTTATGCTAACTAACAGCTAGAGATGTGTCAATTTTGAAACCTTTTATCGTTTCAGTCATATATTGAGCAATATTCCATCCATTTTTGTTCATACTTTCACTATGTGAAAGCATTTACATATACATATACATATATATAAAATTCTGTGCAGGTATTGCGACATAAATTTCGCAGAAAGATCTCAGTATACTAGCGGTAAAGTTTTAAATATGGCAGTACGACGTTTAAGTATTTGTGAGTAGATATCAAAGCGATTGGATTGTTTTGTAGATCCAACGAGATCTAGACACGACGTGGTAATGATTTCACACGTAAAGACGGTAGCTGGTTCTCCCTTTCCCTCCCTTCCTCCATCACTCTTTCTCTCGGTTCAGGCATGCACTCGGTCGGATTCTAAATTAGCGTGGGAAGCGAACGCACCTTCGCAAACAATTGCGCTATGTAAATATCGTGTCCATGGATACCGGGTAGCGAGGATAATGGCGAGGCAAGCGGTTCGCGGTGCACTGGGTGCACGTGGCACCCGGTGTGTCGTCGGCGACACGATCGTTTAGTTTTCGGCAAGAGGAAGGCGGCGTCTCTGAAAGAGGCACGCTGCAAATTCACCGGTGTTCACATCTGACGATCGAAAACCATCGCCGCCGCCACTGCGCACTGCCATCATGAATTCCTGTTGCTCGATGTGTCCTTATTGCTGTTTGCCTTGCGGCGATGACATTCGTCGCTATAGGTACGCCACGATCATTCGCGCGATCATGTGCACTGTTGCATAATTTGTAACCTTTCCTTCTTTTTTTTTTTCTTACCATGTTACGCGTTCAGCTGTCATCACACCGAAATTACGTCGAGTTCCGCGCTGCACGTGCGTGCGTATGTGCGTGTGTGATATGTAAAGGAAATTTTCCGTAACAATCTCGAGACGTTTTGACTTCGGGGCTCGTATCAACAGTCGATACTTGAAGCTTGTCTCACATGAGATATTCAGAGTTGAATTCAAGAGCTGATCTGAATTTGTTTAGTGAAATCGCGACTACAAGGTTGGAATTTCGAAACTCATTTTCTGCGGCAAGCCTGAATCTGAGTATCTTGTTCGAGACGAGAGTTTTAAGCAATGACTATTGACGCGGACCTAAACGAGATACGTCGTAGATCCGCACAGCGAGAACTGACTCGCGCCGACTGCGACACAACGTTCCATCGGAACGCTATTATTTAAGTGGCACAAAAGGGATACAACAATGAATTGTAGCACGCGCACACACGCGCATCACGGAAATTACACGTTATTTCTTAAATGAGTGGCAGCTTACGGGGACCGATTGAAACGCTCCCGCGGCGGAAACCCCGTGACGACATTCGAGCGACGCGTTTATCGCGATTATTTATTCGCCGTGATTTTATACTTTCTTCGGGCCCCAGATGCACTTTCTCCGCCTTCCGTGTCGTTAAATTGTAATAACCAGTTATTATCCGAATCACTCGTCTTACACGGCGCGCGCACACGCCGCTTGCGCGGCGCACGTCGCCGCCGCCGGTAAGTCGCTCGCATTGCAACTTGCGCTACGCATTGTTACGTTGCGCTACGAGGAATTTTAGGATGTTTCGCATTGCGATTCGATCGTAATCAAGATCGCGCACTTATGTAACACCGAGCGCGCGTGTCCGCCTGCGTCTACCTCCGACGGCGCGTGCTCGCGTGCGTGGGTCGGAGGTTTCCGTAAGAAGAAAGTGACCGCTAATAGATCATAATCGATCGCTCGCTCGATCGCTCGCTCCGGCGAATCGTGCAATACAAACACCGCGGTCGCGTAATGCCAACGTCGCGCGCACGCGCGCGTGCATACAGAAAAATATATACCGCATTCATCGAGTAAATGTTACTTGTTTTTAGCTTTTCATAAGTTTATACGTTCACCAGTATTTCGCAAGTTGAATTAGTAACAAGTAAGTTCATGTGAGCAACAAATTTGTGCAAGATATATTCCCAATCTTAGTGAGTTTAGTGTACAGAGAATCAGATTTCTTTGGATTTAGTAATATTTCTTTAGTTGAGACAAATTTATCTCCTCGGGATACGGCAAACGAATATTCGATTCAACAAACAGGATTGTTTCTCATATAATTTGTTGATCTCTCTAATGACAAATCTTTACGTCTAATAATATATTTCTTTGTTTTTGTTAACATATTTTCTTTATTTTCATTCAAGCATTACAATGGTTGTCACAAGCAATAAATTATTTTATTTTATTAATTTAATTAATTTTAATTAATTTGAAACTAATAACATTATGTTAGGAAAATGTTAAAGGACTTTTTTTGTTTCAGTGGAACGATATTTAATATATAATGAAATAAATTTTTTTTGCTGAAAACAAATTATTGGATATTAAATTATGTTATTTATATTAAACAAACCCAAGTCAAACACGTATACTGAAACCAAAGAAATCGTTGTCCTTGTGTACTTCAATCAAGGAAATTAAATTAAAACAAATATCAGGTTGTTTATTCAAATTAACCAAATTTAACTTTTCTCCGACAAAGTATGTAATATTCCCGAAAAGAAAATCAATTCTTTCAGGTACGAAGTATGATGAGCTTTTCTAAAATTGATGACAAATATTTTAAAATTATCGTCAAGAAAATATTTTTTATTGAATATAACTGTTACGTAGAAGAAGGAAAGTAAACTGGGCATTCGCTTTTCTCAGCAGTAGAATAATATTTTCTTCTGTGCGCGTATATGCGATTTTTCCTCGCTCGATCGAGCCTCGATCGTGGATTCCAGCCGACAATTGAGGCACAATTTTCTCTTCCGAGTTCTCGCTCGCGTACGAGTCTTTCTTTCTCATCGTTTAACACTACGGAGGGGGGAGGGGGAAGAATCTTCATTTTAAATTTTAATTCTTCGGAACGGCGAATAGCTCGGAATCCTTCCGACTTTTGCGCGATTCTTTGCCGCAATTAACCGCTCTCCATGAAGAGACAGAATTCCGCGGGCAATTCAAGGATTGTCGATGAATCCGCGTCCTCTCTCTCGCGCGCGCGCGTGAAAGGATTCCGCGTATTAAATGTCACATTATTCGAGAGGAGCCCATCGGAGAAACCGCCGACGCTCACGCAATCGCGCGAATATTACGCGCGCCGTTTTCCCATCGGCGCGTTTCCATCCCGCCGGGACGGTTTCGGAAAACTCGCCGGCGGGGAAACTCACCTCGACATCGTGTCTCGCTCTCGTCGTCGTCGTCGTCGCTCCGGTCTCTTTCTCTGCTGGCTCTGCAGATCACACGCGTTGTGTCACGTCACCGTCTCTCGAACAATTGCCTCTTCTGTCAATCTACCGCTCGATCCACCGCTTCCCATATCAGAGGCCCGGGAGTTCAGCTCGTGTCGGTGTTATCGGCGCGAGTAGTTCGGCGAGACTGACTGACTGACTGACTGACTGAGTTCGCGGCGCTGGTCGTTTCGTCCTGCCTTGGTGGCAGGCTCTACGCTGTTACCTAACTCGTCTGACACGGAACCGAGTCCACCGCCGAGACGGACGCGACCCTTCTCCCGTGGGGCCAGTCAGGGTGACTAATACTCGACGGTGCAACCGGGGAAAACCGACTACGACCTCCGCATGAGGGGTTCCTCTCACCCCCGGCGCGCTCTCCTCACGCTCGTCACGTGCACCCCAGCCGGATCACTTTCGCTGTCCAGGAGGCAGCGCGTCATTCCGCGAGACTTTTCCTCTCGCACGTGCCTCGGGCGTTTCGCATCGCTGAAGATTCACGTTCACGTTCCGTTCGTTATTGGGTCAACGTTGCGGTAATCGGACAGCCGGGAGGTCGAATGTCGGCCCGACTGCATCGATGGTGATCGCAGCGAACTGCGAGACCCTCTCCGAAGTCTCTCGTCGGAGAGTCGGTCCAGGTATGGATGCAGAAGGGCACCGTCCGTTTCCGTGACGCGACGCTCCCCGAGGAGGCGCGGAATGCGCAATGTCACGGATCACGTTCGGTTTCGCAGCGACGAAGAAGTATATCATATTTTACTTCTCTCTCTTTTTCTCTTTTTAATATTTTGTCTCTCATGCTAATTTAAATTTGGATTTAAATTTATTCTATTCGTTGCTTAATCTTTTTTTATAGAGGAGGCCGAGGCTATTTGGCACACTTTTTATATTTTATTTTTTGTTCTTTCCTGTAAAGCATTTTGTACCGATTTTTAATATAATTCGAAAATACAATTCTCCGGAAACAGAAAGAATATATATTGAAAGATTTAAAAGTAAATTTATAGAAGAAATCAGTTTTATCTTGAATGTTGTCAAGTGTGTAAATTTGTTCCGTTAACGGGGTACATTGATTACACTAAAAAATATAGCTTGGTTTAGTAAATATTGACGTTATAGTTTATCATAAATATATGAAGTTAATTCAACATTATTTTCACTATATATATATA